TTCTGCGCTGTTTAGCAACTTAATTTTTTTTCATCATCTAAATTAACGAAACACGAGAAAGGAGAAAGTTGTATGAAACATTTTTTAATAGAAACCATTAATAATCGTAACTTTGTTATGGCACATGAAGGAGAATCACTTTATTTGGACTTAAGAGTGATTAACCTCATAATTAGTAGAGCATGACGAATTATCTACTATGATTATTTAATATTAATATCACAAATGTTTATATTTAATGCTTTTGAATTAGTTCAAATTTTATACTCAATTCGAGCTGCATCTAGGTAAACTGTCCTAGCGTTTCTTAGCGTGTTATTTAGACTCTCAGTCGTCTCCACCGCAGAGAAACTATTTGTATCTAACATAGTCAGGAAAATATATAATTAAAAAATAAGCGTGGCAACGAGACAAATCACGATGGCTTGCAAGATGGAAATTTCTTAACGCTAATGCATGAAATTGGTTTGCGCCATCTTCGTTTGCTTTGATGCGAATTTGATTTGCTGTTGTGACTATTCCATGTAGTTTTTTGGTCTTCACTGGTTCTGTCCACTTCTTGATGCCTTTTTTCTTCTGAGAAAAACAGAAATTCCATTAACACTTTTCATACGTTTTTGCCATGAAAATTAATATTTTTCTTTTAAATTCTTTAAAATCTATTCTTAAGTATACAAGTCAAATTAGTAACTACACTTAATCATGCAATAATAGATTATAGTAATTTTAGATACAAATTCAGTGTTACTGCTTATGGTTTACTATGTGCACGATGCATTGCAAAGCCTACAAGAACGAATAATTGAAACAAACATTGCTTAATTAATAATATCAATACGATAATCGATTTGTATGAAGCTTCAAATGTTATAAAGTATACAGGGGCAAAACAGGGTGTACACTATATAGAGGGTACCCATTTTTATCGGCTCACAACATCATAGGTAGATATAAATGTGTCATTGTTACAGAATGGTGCATGTCTTTGATAAGAATACAAGTAGTCGATTTGAAAAAGATTGTTCGTTATTCCGTTTAGAATCTGAAAAGCAAAAGCTATATTTTATTTGTCTACTCTTTCCGTTATTATGATTAAAATTTGTATTATTTATACTTTTCCAAATATGACTTTCTTTCATGTACAATGTTAAACTGGATACAATTTAATGTATTCTTAACAAAAAATGGTCATTTATTTTCATTTTTTTAGAATTTCTTTCTTTTTTAATGAAGAAATTATGTTTTATAAATCCTAATTTATAAAAAACTGCATGCAGATGCTTCGGTTCTTCTTTTCGTTAAAACGCAGTTACAAATTAAACAAATTATGTGAAACCACTAAATAGTATCATCTTTCTAATCATAACAATATTTAAGTAACAATCTATTGTATTATGCAGATACTATTTCTCAACTATAAATATATTAAGCACGAAATGTGTATCGGTATTAAAGATCCTTACATTTCTTTTACATAATTTCATACATGCAAGTTTCGATGCATTTATCTTACCTTAACATTAGTTAAAAATACATATAATATTAAATACAATGATAACATAAACATTTAAGCTTTAATGTGTAATTTTAATATTGTACTGCACGATGCAAAATAAAAATTATTGAAAGTACATACCATTTAGTTGATGTTCAGTGTAATACGTGGGATTGTTGTCACCTCCATAATGATATTCCATCAGGTACGGTAGTACGGTCATACTGTGCCATTTATGTCCTTTAAGAGGAGGTATAGGCACTTCTTCTTGTGTTCTAGGATGCCTGCATATAGTCCATGGATGCCTTCTAACTTGTTGTAAATTAAATCTTTTATCTGCATCTTTTTGTAACATTCCTTGTATAAGTGATTTCAAAGGCTCTTCTACTTCTTCGGGTATTGTGTATTCACCTTTCCCTATATTCTCATACAATTTATAAATATTATCACCTTGAAAAGGATATTGGCCTGTTGTTATATTATACCTATAAAACACACACAAATTTATACCCTCATTAAAGAAACAAGTACAGTTTTTACATTTCTATATAAGTTTAAATAGAAATACGCTTACAATGTAACTCCACTGCTCCATATATCTACTTTAAAGCCAGAAAACGTTTCACAGCCATTTGCAATTTCAGGAGGCTGAAATGCTGGTGACCCCTGTCCCATTTTACATATGTCGTCTTCAGAAAACATATCTAACGCCTGAAGGGAAAATATTTTAAAGTATGCAGTTTACAGTTAATTAAATGTGATCAAATATTTTAATTCGTGAGAATAAAATATAAAAGATTATTTTCAAAAAGTACAGAGTCGAGGAAAGTAAACGGAATATATACCTCTGCAACTCCAAAATCACTAATCTTTAAGGTACCATCTAAAGCCAACAATAAATTTCCTGGTTTTATGTCTTTGTGTACTATTCCTTTACTGTAAAGATATTCTAAACCATCCAACAACTGACAGAAATAGTCATGTGCTTGCCAAAGTGGAAGCTTTTTGAGAGGTGTACTTCCCAACATATCCTGTAAAAAATCTAATAAATAGAAATCTAATTGTTGTTGATTCCATGCAGACTTACGTTCCATAGAACAATTGCATGAAACAATACATTCTTTTCAGACAAATGGGCCTGTACAATGAAAAACTATTACAATAGCTTTTGTTATAAAATGAACAGCATTGGAAATAGTTTCTATCTTCCCATTAATTATATAATGTTACAATTTAAATGTTAAATCCTTTCATAGGTGAAAGACATTTATATATATTTTGAATTAATTTCCAAAAATATCAATTTTTGTAAATAAAAAAACCATATAAGGCTTTTAAAATTTACCTGTAATCCACATACACAAAATTCCATAACTAGATACATCTTCTCCTTTTGATCATCATATAAAACATCTACAAGGTTAATTACATTCTTATGTTTTAGTATCCTTAATAGTTTTATCTCCCTGTTGACGAACGTGAACAAATAGAATTTAGAATTGCAGAAACTAATTACATATATAATTTAACAACAAATGTTATTTTTAAACGTTACTATTATCTTGAAAAAAAATATAAATTTAAAAAAAATATTATCATACAATACATACGATGTACACTACTGTCTTCTATTTATAACATTTAATATACAAAATTGTTTAGATATTCTCATATTATATGTCATTACATTATATTGTACATTTGTTTTTATTTCAATAATACAATATGCACAATATATTAGATCGGTGCATATGATTAGTTGTTCTTTTTTATATCTCAACTTTGCTACACGATATTCGTTTCTAATAACATACTTTTTCATGTATTTGTATTAGAATTTATTAAGTAATTCGATTGTAAAAGAATTTATGAGCCACAGGCTGAGAGAATTATCTACTTAGAATATTTCTAACATTTATGAAAATTATTATAACAATATTGGATTATCATCCAGAAAATTACATGAAAAGTATTCCCATTACATACATGAAACTTCAAAAGTTGCATCGGTTTGACATTCCACTGAGAAAAACATTTCATATGCACCGATCTAAAACATAGTGCAAATGATTAAAAAGTGTTTGACAAATTGGTCTGATTATTGAAATAAGAGGCAGTTCTGGGAGAATATGAAAATTTGTTAACCGTACCGTTGAACGTTAAGCTCTCCGTTTGGGATTCTACGAAGTTTCTTCCTTTTTAAAATTTTCACGGCTCTACGACAAAGTGTCTCTGAGTCCAGCACTTCTTTCACCTTTCCGTAACTACCTTCACCAAGAACATCACCCATAAGATATTTACCAATAAATTTACATTTTTTCTTTTTCTCCTCGTATATAATCTGATCGGAATCCACCCTATGGAAGAACATGTTGACTTCGTCCAAGTCATAGTTCGGATCATCGTTGATCCACGTGACTGGCTCGATATCTTGAAATATTTCATTGTCGATTTCTTCTTCGTCCGGGTCACATATTGTGATCCTATTGTCCATTTTTCACAACTCTAAATTGGACTAAACTGTTACCCAAAGCCACGCAACTTTAACCTAAAACACAACCGGCACCACCATTGTTGTGAATTACAGCTGTATGAGACCGCGGCTTGTGATAACAAAGATTCAGACCGTCACCTCAGTTCTGGAGCACACATATCGGCTATACTAGCGCCCGAATTCAAAAGTAAGTATCTTTGCTTAGCTATCTAAAAATATACTTATCTAATTAATGAATAATGTATTTTTCAAAAATATTACTTTTTAACAAAATATATTTCGTTTCATATATTTCTTTAAATCCATTAATATTTCGACATCAATTTTCGCTGCCTTTTATCAATAAAAAAATTATCGAGTTTTATACGAATAGCCATAAACTATTCTGTTTAGTTGAAGGAGATTCATATACAAAAATATGATATACGTAAAGTATAATTTTTATTGCTTTTATTATATATTTATAAAGGAATACTTATTTTTAATGAACGTTACGTAATTAATAAAATTAATTTCGTGTATTTATACAGATCATTATCTATAAAATTTTGGTACTTTTTCCGTATTCCTTTTTTTTCTGGGAGAACTTATAAAAGGTTTTAATGTTTTCGAATGCCTTTTGGATATGTAAAAAAGACTAAATTATAACGATAATAACACAAAGTAATATAAAAGTAAAAACGTTTGAGTTATTTTCATATCAAATAATTTCATTTACCAATAAATAATATTTATGTAAACTTGCTGTAAATTAGAAATTCGTCCAAATATTTGTTATTGTACATGGTATTTGTATCCTATACATCTATTTTCCAAATTTATACAAGTGTATAATTATATGATATGCTTTTCTACAGTTATGTACAATACATAGAAATATATCACTTAATTATTTCTAGAAAAGATGTCCAAACAGACGACCTCCTATATACGTCCTCATGATTGAAATAAAAATCATGAAGTTTATTAAAAAATTATACCCTTTAATAGGGAACGTACTTTGTATTATACACAATGAGAACATAATGCATTTTCTTGCACCGTAGCTTGTCAATGATGATGACCAGTTGTAATTAATGAAGGCAACAATGAACCCACTACTAAAACTAATATTTCTTTAACTTTTAGCCCAGGAGAAGACACCGTCACGTTATCAGCAGTTGGCAGATGAGAGTAATTGCTATTTCTTGTCATTAATTCTGGCAGAACATGCACAGTTGCAACATATAGGAATGTACCTGCACTAAATAACATTGCTAAACCAGTTGCGTTAACGTTACTAAGAGTTTCTTTTCCTTCCTAAAAGAGAGTAATTACTTTGAATTAATATTTATGTAACTACATTTATAAGTGGCAGCAACAAAACTGTTCAAGTTCGTAATCAATTACCTTTCCAATACCAAAATATGTTAAAAGTGCAAGGCAAGGTGCAGCCAGAGAAAATACTAATAGATGTCTACTTATTCTTTTTCTGTCTACTCCTTCATGAAGTAAAAATGAAACAAGACCAAATGCAGCTGGAGCCTGTGGAAGATTATTAATTTTGTTGTTTTAGAATTTATTATAATGATACGTAAGTATTCTACATACCCTAAATAAAGAATATAACGCAACTCATTTTTCTTTTTACCTTATGCAACATTATTGCTAAAAAGACTATTAATTCTACATCAGCTTGTGATGTAGTTGCAGCAGCTCCTAATGCTACTCCATCAGCTGCTGCATGAACTACAAGACCCAATGTAGCAGTTACACTTCTTTCTCTTCCTCCACTCCTTCTAGCTGAGCACTGATCAACCAGAAGCATAAATACAAAACCAAGTATTAAACTAATGCCTATTAAGGAGTGAGGATCATCTAAAAAGATAAAGATTAAGAACAATAAATTAATTAAAATTAAATGACATTGAATATTCTAAATTCTAATTTAATCCGTTGCAAACTCTAAATCCTCGTGCTTTAAAAAACTCAAATATCTTGAACACTTTTAACATTGGTGTGCTAAAGACAAAATGTAATTTGTATAACTAATTATCCAAAAGCTTAATACATAATATATTAATCGAAACAATAGAACATTTTGGAAAATAAATTTTTAATACTTTTCAAGCAACGAAATACAATAATCTTAAGAATAATTGTTTTAGTTCATTGTTGATACTAACTTTGAAATTCTTGATCAGTGTTGCTCCCACCAGTAAACAACGCTCTTATACCTTCAGGTATTATCACAGCTAAGGCAGTGCCAACAAGAAGTCCAGCACCGAGTATCGAAATCAGTTGTAACTTTTCCTAGAAAGATTAAAGGTTCATGACGTTCATGATCATGGAGAGTTCTTTGTAGCATCTGTAACCAGTAGTTTAAGTGCATGATAATTACAGAAAATAATCGATAAGAAAGATCTTTTATCCTTCTGTTTATCATGCAATGATAAACAAAATTACCTCGGACAGATTCATTACTAAAGGCAACGATCCAGAAATACAGGAACCAATTAGCATCACTAAGGAAAGCATCCATAATACCGAACTTTCTTCCATTTTTTCAGATATATTTTCTTACTAAATACAGAATTAATACTTTCATATTTCCGTGCTGATCGAACGATCAGTTATGTGATATTTACCGCAAATATTTCATTTTCAGTTATCGTAATTTTTTTTCTTTTCAAGCACGCTTCCTGACAATCTCTCACGATCTGTTTTCGTCTACGTAGCAGTTTTCGCGGTGAATACCGTGAGTATAGCAACAACACGAAAGCAACCCACTTTCACAACCGTGGAAGAAGCAGCACGAGATGCAATAAAATGTAAACTTAATACCAAAACTGTAATAGCTGATTTCTCTAACAAAAAATTTGATTGCAACTGAATACATTTAAAAAAAATTATTGTACATACCTACATAATCCTTTAATGAAAATAATATTGTTTTATAACAAAATAGGATAATCGTGATGTCTATGTACATTTATGTGAATATATACTATTTATATAGGAACGATGCATCCATTCCTCCTGAATTTAAAAGAAAATAAGATCAATGAACTCAGGTCTATATAAATTATGGTTTTAGGAAAAATACTAATTAGACTCAATATATAGTACAAATTATTATCCAATAGAATTTTCTGCTCACGGTTTATGGTTTTAGGATCCCATGACCATTTTAGTGTCACGCACAACATTACCGATAATTTACGATTTTCAGATATGCGCTATTAGCAAACATAAAGTATTTGTACACTTTGTTCGCATTATGATATTCAATACGATTTGGCGGGAAGACATACATACGGCAATGATTCTTCGATACAATTAAAAATATTATTAAATTCTGTATCGTCCAATTAGAAATTTGTTAATTCAAAGAAACTCTGGTATTTTACGAAATTACAGTTATTTATTAGGGAACTTGCGACAATCGGTTATTAGTCTTCTAACGGTGTATCGAAAGGCATCGTAAACAATCTTGTGATCGTCTATAAAAAAAACAAATAATATGTGCTATGTTATTTCAATAATTATTGAATTATTATTATTAATTATTAAATTAATTTTGAAAATATGATTATTTTAATAATTATTGATTAAAACAAATAATATATGAAATATTATTTGAACAATATAATTATATTAAAATAATATTATTTTCCTTAATAATTCTAGGTTATTTTCTTTAAAGTGTTATCAAACGCATTTCCAATGCAATAAGTAATAATTTTGGTTCCCTTTGTATGTTTGCGCAAAGATTTTTTAAAATTTGAACTGCTTCACTAGGTGACAGGAGTATCAGTGACCACCAGCACCTCTATTGGAAATGTCGGTGTACTAAACAGTAAGTGATTTGTAACGAGTTGAGCGAGACAAGTGATTAAAAAATGGCATCCGCGACGACGTCGCACAATGAGGTTTCACAGGAGTTTTCTGTCAACAAACTTATTCGTGTCGGTTATTATGAGCTGGAGAAAACTATTGGCAAGGGGAATTTCGCCGTCGTTAAAATGGCTACCCACGTCGTGACGAAATCAAAGGTGAGCCCGCTGTTAATGCATTTTTCTCGCAAACAGGGAATCCGTCATTTTGTCGTTATAACTCTGGATAACGGTGTAGACACATCAATTTCGGCTTGTTTTACGGTTCTCGGTGGTTTTTTATGTAACGACAAGCTGTCACAGAACGAGGGAAGCTACAAGTTCAAAAAACATATCACGAAACGATATTACCAACAGACACTGCTACATCGATTGAAATATGTTTCGTCGATGTTTTTCAAATTATTACCAGCTATTACCAGGTTGAATGTGCTTATAAAACTGGAAACAAAAATATTATACATTAGTTTATAAAAATAATGTATCAATGGGACGCGTATCTATGTACGTGATATATGTTTTTTTAACTTACATTCGTATGTGTTGCTTTTTTTCCTTTGTACGCTCTTCGTTATTTTACTAGAATTAATTCAAACATTCTTGTTTGATAATCTATCGATAACACAGATTAATTTGTAGAGTAAAATGTATGTTGTATAAAGATATATAAAATATTTTTTGTTATTACATCTCATGCATTCAACGAATACATTGATGTATATGTCAATATTCAACTATCAATTAAATATATTTTCAATAATTCAAGTTTTTGTATAATCATAATCTACAGACATATTCAGCTATATGTCATTTCATACATTTTGGATTCTTATACAATTAAGAATATTGGGATTACATTTAGTAATTGTTTAGTATTAAATACTTTATGATTATATTTTTATTGCAGGTGGCTATTAAAATAATAGACAAAACAAAATTGAACGAGGAAAATCTGGCAAAAATTTTTCGTGAAGTACATATAATGAAAAGATTAAGGCATCCACATATTATAAGGTTATATCAAGTAATGGAGACAGAAAAAATGATATACTTAGTTACCGAATACGCACCTGGAGGAGAAATATTTGATCATCTTGTGCGAAATGGAAGAATGCCAGAACCGGAAGCAAGAAGAATTTTTCGTCAAATTGTCCTTGCTGTCCGCTATCTTCATCAACAAAGAGTTGTTCATCGAGATTTAAAGGTTTACACTCATATCAGTATATTAAATATAATCATATCGAATGTATCAGAAAATGAAACAAGTTTTGTACAAGTGTATACATTATTATGTTCTATTATTCTAGGCTGAGAATTTGCTACTTGATGCAGACAATAATATAAAACTTGCAGATTTTGGATTTAGTAATGAATATACCCCAGGTGTTCCGCTTAGCACTTGGTGTGGGTCACCACCATATGCTGCACCTGAAATTTTTGAAGGAAAACAGTATGATGGTCCACGGGCTGATGTATGGGTATGTCACAGTTCCTAAATTTCCTAAGAAATCTGACTATTGCTATCTTATAAAATGTTTAATTTCAGAGTCTCGGTGTTGTTTTATATGTACTAGTTTGTGGCGCATTACCATTTGATGGACCCACAATGCAATTATTACGCTCCGTAGTAATCTCTGGAAAATTCAGAATACCATTCTTTATGTCTGCAGGTATATCTTGTTCCATACAATTCTTATTTATTCTACACAATTATCAATGTTAATAATACATTTATTTTTATAGAATGCGAGAAGTTGATTAGACATATGTTGGTAGTAGAACCTGAAAGGCGTTTAAGTATTTCACAAATTTTAGCTCACTCCTGGATGGGTGGAGATGGTGTCACAGAACCAGAACCTGGAGGGTATATATAAACATTACTAACAGTACATCATGTTTGTAGACAACAAATGAAAAATTTCATATCATAAGACCGTTTAATTTTATGTTCGTAGGTGTAATTCTGAGACTGTACCACTACAACTAAATCAGTTAGTACTAGAAAATATGTTAAGATTACCAGGACTCACAGCAGACACATTATTAAAAGCAGTTCAGGGGAATGCTTTCGACCATGTATCAGCAATATACAATCTTCTTGTTGATCGATTAGAACCAACAATGCCTAGTTTACCTAGTATTCAAAGTTTACCAGGAGATTATGCTCCTGATGGTGCGCATCAATTAGAAAAGGTAAGAATTATAAACGTTCAACAAAAGATACGTTACTTTTGTAATCTTCTAATTTTTTCTTTTTCGTAAAGTTCGGTGACACCGAAGCAGAAACAGAAGAAAGGAGCGGGATGCAACTTACACCTGGAACACCTTACCATACTACAAGAAGGCACACCGTTGGTCCTGGTGACACAGCTCATCAGCCGCCAACACCATACCCATATAATTATAATCACAATACTGGTGATCCAACACTGCGACTCCTCCCCATATTACCGTGTAATAACACTGATCCTCAGGTGTTACCTCATACGAATCTACCGTTAAACCTTCCTCTTGTTCAACATCAGCCTCCTCAAAACTTTCAAATCAAGGATCAACATTTACTAAAACCGCCTCCTGTGATGGGAGCAAGTAAGTAATATGATGTAAATTATTTGTAATGCTATTGATTACGTCCACTTTTAATAAGTATTTAACCAATTGCAGCGGGAAGCTTTGGAAGAAGAGCTTCGGATGGTGGAGCTAATCTTCATGTTTTCTATCAACAACATGGCAGTAACTCTGGTAGCGGTGATGATGGAGGATGGAGTCAACCTGGCAGTAGGGAACATCTGCAACCTGTAAGAAATTAGAGGATATTGAAAATTATTTTAAATTTTCGTAAACAATTTTTTTTGTCATTTTCAGATTCAAACTGGAAGTCCAACGCTTGTACCATGCACTCAATCGTTAAATGTAGGAGTCAACAATGGAAGCGGAGATACAAATGGCAATAATAGTGGCACTGGTAGTGGAGGCAGCGATAGAAGACGACGAAGTGGTCTTACTGCCGTCATGCAAAGACCAGGTATTGTGGGTTATATCTTTCAGGTACTCGCGTGCACAGCATTGGTGCACTTTATTATATCGTACTTCATATCACATCAATAAGATTTGATTATTATGATTTGCTGTATCGGTTAGTTTAAACGCTTGTTATATTTCTTTGTTTTTGAAGCTGTAAGTATGATTATTATGCCTTGTTCATATCCTTTTGCTATTGCAGTATTTGTACATTGGTATGTTTTTTTATAGTGTTATCATGCATGAAAAATGTTCCTTTTTCTAAGAGACAAAATTAATCTTTCTTCGATGTAAGAATATATATTGCATATCGGTCAAGAATTATATACATTGGTTCTTATTTACTGCAATATCGTACTATTCCGTATGCGATTGTATATTCAATTTTATTTTTTAATCACATTCCTTGTATTATATTTTTTGATTGAATTATTAAGTTTTAACTTCACGTATATACGTATACAATTTTTCCCAAGACAACGTACGTACGCACTTTATTTACACACATCTTTTTTAATATCTTTTTGATTTTAGCCTACAAATAGTGTTTCATTTGATTTTATTTTTGATTTTGCATGGTTTTTTTTGTGTCTACTGCACTGCCATGCCTCGTTGGTTGGTAATATGCATGTAGTTATAAATCCGGAAATGGTTATGGAGGTGGAAGCTAGGATGAATAGAGCTTACCTCCCGTCACGGCTCTTACCATCTCACCTTAGAGGATCAACGCTTCCACATCACAGGAAGACTTCTTTATACCATACTAGCACTGGTAATTTTTGTGTGGTTTTTTTGCATTTTGTATCAGTAAAAAATATTTAACTTTTAAGTATTGTGTATTCACTGTTATCGTGTTACATATACTTTTGGTCATAAATGAGATCATAAATTAACGAAAGAGGACTATAAAACTTGTAGAGTTAGTATTACTTACACTAATTATTTATATTTCATTTTGTTATACGAATGTCATTAATTTTGCAGAATACTATTTTTCTTATTCATTAAAAGAAAGACCTGATTATATTTTGGTTGATAGTATGTGTATGTATATATCCATGCACAATAATAATATTTTATTCTGATAAGTTAACTTATCTAAAAATATTGCACACACATATACACGCATTTACGTGCATTGAGTGTTACGTGAAAAAATGTGATTCACACAACTCTTAATAACAAAATGATTAAAAACTCTATTGATTTTAGTAGGTAACAGAGATTCATATAAGGAACCAAGCGCTCATGTTGCTGCAGAAAGATACTCACCGGTTCGAAGAGCGTCGGAAGGCTCTGGACCATCTGGACCAGGAATTCAAGCGCTTCAACAAGAATACCAGCAGTTGCAGAGGTTAGCATCTCCATCGCACAGTCCTGCAAGTATACCTGGATCTCCTGTACATGAGAGAGGGGTAGCAGCAATTACGCAAGGTATACCTTATTTCAAATCTTTTGCATGCAAATTATCCTATGTTAATTAATGCTTCATATTAATTCATGTCCAATAATTTGTTTTCTTAACAGGTTTAAGTGGACTGACCACGACAACAGTGCAAGGTAGCATTGTGCATGGTACTCCAACGCAACCACCAGCAACACCATTAGATTTAAGCCCACTGAGGCATCATCGATCACCAGCTACAACACCAGTTAGTTACTCGCCTAGTAATAGCCCAGCTTTGGATATGATTCAAGAAGAACATCCTGTAGAGATACCAAGAGTAAGTAATTTTGATGCTTTCGAAACTATATTATTTTTCACAATATCAGAACTTTCCAATTATGTACTTTCTATTTGTTTTTCTAGAATGTGCATGTGTTATAAATATTATCATTCATTTATTATGTGTAGTCGTAGGTAAAACGAAGCATTTCTGTATAGTTTACATTTTTTTATTGTATTAATATTGGTATAATGTTAAAAGAAGTTTCTTTTGGTGAATTATTTCTAAAGATAACGCAAGAAATTTAAACATGTAAATTTATCGAATATTTTGGTTATTTTCTCATTAGATAAATAAAAAACAGTTTGCAATTTGTGCAAAAAGAATCAAATTTCACATGTTTCAATTTAATACAATAAATACTACGATCTACGATATTCGAAGTATTTTTATGTAACAGAGTTTAATGTGATTAAATTTCTATTATAGGTGCCACCTCAGATATCTATAACAGATCTCGGGGGACAAGTAACACTTATCAGTTGTTCACCTTCGCCATCTCCATCGCCCGATTCACTTGAAGATGCGTTACCTCATTACAGTCCTCTTCCCAGCTTCATCATCTCCGAGCCATGCGACCCGCTAAGACCGAGTATCACGCGTGGTATCGGTAGGCCATTAAACACATCAATACCGACAGAAGTCGAAGTCACTTTGTCAGACGAGTCAAGTAGATTAAACAGTGAGGCTATATTAGGTCGTGTCAAACAGATTATAGACGCGAGAGCCCCACCAAAGGGATTCATCTTTAATAGAGAAGAAGTGAAGGGTAGCGGGCTCAGTTTAGAATACCCGGGAGGTGTTCAAATCGAACTTAGAGTATGCGAATCAGAAGAGAAGGAGGTGAAAGGCATTAAAATGCGAAGAATTAGTGGGGACCAATTGCAGTATAGTCAACTTTGTCAGCAGCTGATCTCGTGCATTACCGTTTGACGACAGCCAGCTTATAATATAATATTTTTTTATACGTTACATTCCTGGTGCCACACACACCACTCATTACAGTATTGCACATGCATGCTGCATACATACGAGCGGTACTTTAAGCATACCATTCTTTGTATTGGTACATTCATATATGTAACATTCAGTGTGCTTCACTTTCGAATGTTCTACTCCTACTTTCTTTTCTCTCTTATTTTAACTGTGTAAATCAAGAAAAGAGAAAGACACGCATCGTCTCTTGTGCATAATATGAGGTTAGAAACGGAAATATTACTACCGAATACTTTTGAAGTCTTAAACGTTAAGGCTTTAAAAGACGTGTAGACGTGTATACCCTTGCGCAGGCAAAACAATGTTCTGCTATTTTTTAAACGATTTAAGTATTAACGAAACAGGACGATTTTCATGAAAGTTTAATCGTAATGTACATCACACACACCATTCCTTTTTGTAGAATGTTTGTCTTCATGTTAGAAGTTACTAGATAGCGAATACATAATTTACTGTTTAAATCATCATCAGGTGCCCTGTTTAGCTTAGGTAAGGGAAGAGTCTTTTGTACCGGATTAGATGGCAAAGCATTTTTCATGATATGCATATATCTTTTTGATGTAGCCACGGGATCTTTTATATGGGATTTACTATATTTATTCGATCGTCATTGCAACCATTTTAATTTCATGAAACGTATACATATATTCCATGTTTGTAAATACTACTTCTCAATGATCATACAATCTTTCTGTTTTCCTTTTATCTTAATTGGGACTGGAAGAATTGCCTTCTTTTTTCTGGTACAAATACCACTTTGTTGAATAATTTAATTTTTAATAGCTAGAAATATAATACATAATCTTTCGTAAGTAGCGCAAACACATTATCGTGGTTTGTAGTTCAAAAACTACACAGACTGAGTTACGATTGTATATCTTTCTTTTTTAAAGGAAAAGTTGGCGTATCGCGTTTGTCGCAATTTATCAATTATCTTTATCATTCTTGTCAAGAATGAAATTCGCTTGCTAATTTCATTCTCGATAGTGTCAAGAAAATTTTAAATCAGGAAGTATCAATGTAAGGAAAGTGTATACTTTTCAACTGTTGCACTGTATAAATTGTTCAATTGTCGCAGTTTAAAAAGGAAAATATGCAACCTAGCTCTCCTCGTGTAACCAAAGAGTTCAGTTGATTTTATTAACGAGAAAAAAACAAAAAGATGTTACGCGCATCCGATAGCAATCGCTAGTTAACGCAACATGAAATTGTAACTAGGCTGGCACATATTTTTATTATTATGTTACAATGATTAGATAAAAGACATTATATTAGTGTCGTGTACGGAAAGAAGTAGAAGATTTAATTCACATAATGTAAACAAGATATTTTTCTAAATTTACTTGTTTATAAAGTGAGCAGAAAGGAGTATGTAAAAATGTTTTTTGTCCAAAGTGCAAGTGACAATGTGTATTTTTGCAGAATACAATTGACGTGTAAATTGTTTTCAGTACTCGTGACGATTCTTCGCTAAGAATATTAAACTTCGATAACTTGTTCATTTCGTGTCCACAAAAACCATTGATCATATTTTATTGACGATAACTGATTTTTTTTACAATACGTATAGTGATATAATTAAAAAGTAGTACGTATACTACTAAATATAAACTACCATTCTGCAAACAAAATTCGTAAACATTATACTTGCACTGATACGTTTTCTGTTAGAGTATTTCAACTTTAATCATGAGTTAAACTGACTTTGTTGGAAGTGATGATACTTCTATACTAATGTAAATAACGAAATTCAATGTAAAAATGATGATACATACTATTTAGAGATCTCTGAAATGAACATTATGCAGGCTATTCTATTTCAGCTAACTATTTTTAATACTCTGATTCATTGGATCTTCGTTAACACGTGAATGTCCTTAACAGTATATTTTACTATATACATTTTCCTATAATAATTGTGTATATACTGGCTATGTATCTAAACATTGTGATTCGGTTTGGAAAAAAACCGAAGGTGCGTTTACATTATTTAAATCAAAACGTAAATGAACTTACGTGTTTCCTAATTACACGAACAAATTATTTCATTAGTTAGCTAAGTGAGAGTAGCCTTTCTAAATCATGTAATGCCCAATTTCTATCATTTATAGGACGAATAACGTTTACTGTTTTGTTTATGATTTTAATCGCTGCTTTTGAATGTTTTTATCGTAGATTGAAATGCTTGCACGCGGGCATTTTTTAATAAAATCGTAATGAATATATACCATTGGATATTGTAATATATTCTAGATATTCATTAAAACAAATTACTATATAAAAATGTTTTGTATTAATATAAATGGTATATTTCATTATAAATCGTTGTAAGATACATATTGTTCTAAATATTTTATAATACGCAAAGAACATACTAAAGCAATCGTTTTTATAAATATTTTATTGATACAAAATTTTACGGAAAGCTTTGCGCATAAAAATATTTTACTCACGAACGAAAAATTCTATATTGATGGAAATTGGGTAGGTAATGCTATCAATTACGCACAACAGTGCATACCAATGGAAAGTGTAGGTCAACATAATCCAAATTATTGTACATAACACACTATACATAATTCTTTATTTAGGGTACATACAGTGTGTATGTATGCAGAAACAAACTATGTACATTGTAAACATCTGCTATATGGATAGGATACAGATAGTATTTTCTGCTGTCAATTCTTCAACTAAGACTGTGATTTTTAAATATACTAATGGCTAGGTAGATACAATACATATTAATTGAATATGGTAAAATAAAAATAAAAGAAATATTCAAGACATAGGCGTTTTTAATATTTCTATCTAGTATATACTATTTTAGGTATAACACTATGCCTTTTGTTATCATTTAAATAAAGTGCCATAGGATGCCCTTATAAGAAATTACTACCACTTGTTAGTATATCATTAATATTAAATTTTGCAAAACATCAATTTTTACTCATAATAATGAACAATTTTTTAAAATTGACGACTTCATTGTGAAAGTTAAAATAAACTATTCCATAAGCTTCAGAACAATAGTTATTACTTATAAATTGTCAACTTTTAATGATAATAGCTTATTAATTCAAATTGTAGTCATCAATAGTTATATAAGAATTTATAAAATTATTTAATAATATTGTAAGTACAATGTTAGTCGAATAAGATGTATATACTTACTAATTTTTCGAAATTTATGAAACGGTCATTTTTCGACATTACTATAGTTCAGTAGAAGCTTCGATTTAACCGGGTAATTCGTATCAGTTTGACGTAAATAAAACATATATGGAATTGTTTTTTAATGTGTTGGGAATTATTTAACTTACACGTTGTAAATAAACATAGTAAAAACAAATTTACAGAATTAGTGCAACACGCGATGTTAAAACATTTTTACGTGAATTAAAATTGAACAAATTTCAAAACAACTGCCAAGTAGGAATATGTTCGTTTCGGATAATATATTAAATATTTTATAGGAAAAAATTCGTTTAATCGATCAGTAATAAAACCAAATTTTAATAAATTATATTATTTTACATTTGAAATGTTTAAATTTGTATCTTTACTTATTAACATAACCTATTCTTTCAGTATTGTTGTTTACTTATAGTTAGACGACGAACGTTTATACAAATTTACGTATTTGTAAGCTAGTGTTTAATAAAAACGAGAATTAGGTAGAAGTTTACTAACTAAATGAATTTTTTAACACGTAAAGGTAATCATTAAATCTGTATCCAACTTCATTGAAATTTTAACTTCACTAAATTTTATTATCATAAATATATAAAAATTTGTAGTCTATTTATACGTAAACAGTAATTAATTTTCTTATTCTTTTTAAGTAACTACAAAGTAAATTACATTGCTATTATTGATTCCATACAGAATGGAGGTAATTGAGCTTGTCTCAGATGAAGAAGCTGCAGAAGACAGTACAAAAAAAAATAAAAGTCCAAAAATTTGTAACAGTAATTGTATAAATTTTCAATGTTCATCTGGAGTGGAAATGAGATCAGCTCCTTCATTTGCATGTGCTTTTTACGGCGTGAACACAGAAAAGAAGAAAAAACGCTTAATATGTAAAAAGTGTTTTAATGCGGCATTAGATCATCAAAAGGTATAGTTAGAAAAAAAATATTTATATTTCTGTATATAGCAATAAAATGATGGAAGATTCATTTGATATTTATATTATACCTTAATAGCAATTGGTCTCAGCCTTTGTGGATCATAAACCATTATTAAAGTGTGAATTTCCTGATCATACAATGGAAGTAGAAATATCTGATAGTGACGAATCAGACGATGAAAAAAAAAATGACATATGTGATGAGGGTAAGACACAGATGAATAATTTTATTAAAACAAATTGATAATGTCCGTTGAATTTAAATAGTATTTGTACAAATTTCTATTGATGTGTCTTGTTACAGATAAATACCTGCCAAAGGAAATGCTTGAGAGCGTGGAAGAAATGTTAGATAGTACTTTAAAAAATATTATTGAGAAATATGATGTTGATTATCAAATAAAGGAATCCCATGATATACTAAAAAAACAATGGGATAAAATAAATGGTACACCACTATTTTGCAGAATTTATAGATACATATATTTATTATACATGTATAAGATCATATGATATAATTTTTTGGAACAGAAGAGAAAGAAGTTTTGGACAAAACAGTTAAAGATTTAATGCGTACTATGGATACACTGCGTAACAATTTATACAATGAATACAGGCCACAAATTCAAATGCTTCAAGAGCTTCAAATAGATGATGGGATTTCGGATAATGCTTTATACCCATTGGTGGCTACGAAAAAAGTTACACAAGTGCGAGTACCACCTGCGATACTACAAGATAGTCAACCAGAGATTTTACCTATCGAGCAAGACAATAAGCAAATTTTAGCGTTGGATTTACCTCCAACTGGTCCACTTGTGAAACCACAAGTAGAAATAGATTCTATTGTCTATATTATGAAACATCCACTTATGCCATGGAATAAAGCAAAGGTATATAAATGAACTATTCTATATGTTTTCGCAAAATAGTTTTATATTAATATTTAATCATCATTCTAATCGAATGTATCAGGTGCATACTATAGTTTCGAGAATTCCACTGCACTGTCGTGTAAAGTTACTGCAGAAGAAGTATAATTCAATTGTGAAATCTGTTCCTGGCAAACAACTTGCACCTGCTGTAACTAGTCAAGTGATAATTCCAGTTGGTACTAGAGTAGTTGCGGTCTTTAGAGATGTTACGTCTAGTAACTTTTACAGTGGTGTTATAGCAGAACCACCGAAAGCTACAAACAAATACAGGTATGTTAAGTACAAGATTTCACATGTCAAATTTTCTTCTAATACAATTTTATTATAATAATTAGGTATTTGATATTCTTTGATGACGGATATGCTCAGTATGTTGAGCACAACCACATTTATTTAGTTGCTGAATCTTCTTCCAAGGTATGGGAAGATATTCCGAACGAATCACGAGAATTTGTGAAAAAGTATATTGAAACATATCCTGAAAGGCCAATGGTAAAATTACAAACGGGACAAGTAGTAAAAACAGAATGGAATGGCAAATGGTGGATTGCCAGGGTAGTACAAGTAGATGCGAGTTTAGTACAGATGCATTTTGATGCTGATGGCAGAACAGAGTGGATTTATAGAGGATCCGCCAGATTGGGGCCTCTGTATCTTGAACTCTTGAAAGCAAATGCTAGGCAACAAGGACATCATGCTTCTGTTAATACTCCAACACGACATAGACTTCCTGCTATTACCAATGTAAGTTTATTAGTTAATGAAATTATTGTTTTCTATTTTTTTTCCATGGAGGTTATTTACCAAAATTAAATTTATTAATATTTCAGAAAAGTAATTTACCTTATGTAGAATATACATCTAATGTAGAACCAGAAGAAGATAGAATTTCTCAAGCAGAAAAAGCACAAAGTGTTACAGTTAATGAAAACATAAGTGTTACTACTCCCAGTGCACCACAACAAGCGCGTGCCGTTGCAAGGAAGAGTACTACTAAAAAGCAAAATGTTGTTGACACGAACGCGTATAATCCGAGTACAGAAACGAAACCTTCGCATAGCATAGTTGTAAATATATTGTACAAAACAATTTATGCGAATCGATCGGATAAAAGATAAATGCTAAGAATTTTCCTTCTGTTTCAGTATTATCAAACGCAAAATAAGATTCAGACGAAAAAGTTTGTTCCACATAAATGTGGTCCACAATGTGTTCAAGGTATATCATTCACACCTGATGATTTAAGAGGATATTCACCTCTCTCGATTCCATTACTCTGTGGTTGGAATCGACAACTTTGTAAATATCCGAAAGGTAAAAAAATTACATTGTATCAAGCACCATGCGGCATCAGATTACGAAATATGGAGGAATTACATCAGTACCTTCGTAAGACGGGTAGTCCAATGTCTGTTGATTTATTTGACTTTGATCACTGGGTACATTGTTTGGCGGAGTTTGTTTTAGATAAATGTTTCATCAATATAAAAGTGAGTAAAGCTTCGAGTTATCGAATTTAGTTAATGATTTACTTGTTGCAACTAAATTTATGTATTCAATTTCAAGGATCTTAGTTACGGAGTAGAAAATGTACCCATACCGTGTGTCAATGAATTGGATCATACTCAACCAGATACTATTAGTTATAGTACTAAAAGGGAACCCACTGAAGGTGTCAACCTTAATCTAGATCCGAATTTTCTATGTAGCTGTGATTGCGAAGACGATTGTCAAGTATGTTACCAGAGTGAAGATAGAATATTATGAATACTAGTTATATTTAATTAACTCTTTAATCTTGAGAATTGGATAAAAACTAACTAACTAACGGGACAGATGATAACTAACAATAGCCTGATAAAATATTCTAGAAAGGTTAAACTCAATTAAGCAGGAATATTTTACAAAATATTTTGACCGCGATTTCCACGTTGCCTGCGATTAGGGGGTTAATATCTGCGTTTTAATTTATGACGTTACTTTTTTATCGTACAGGACAAAACAAAGTGTCAGTGCTGGCAATTAACAATACAAGGTGCGACTCTTGGAGGAAGAGTACCGAATACGTCTGTTGGTTATGTGTATAAACGTCTACCAGAACCAGTAACCACTGGAATTTATGAATGTAATTCAGGATGTAAATGTGCTGTAAAAACTTGTCTAAATAGGGTGGTGCAACATCCGCTAACATTAAAATTACAAGTGTTTAAAACAGCTCCCAGGGGTTGGGGCATTAGATGTCTAAATGATATCCCTCTGGGCTCGTTTGTTTGTATATACGCAGGAAGATTGCTTACGGAACAGGTAATTTGTAATGGACATCGATAGAACGATGACGAATAATAATAAATAAAAGAAATGTTATAATCTTAATCATACTTTGCAGGGAGCCAATGAAGGTGGCAAAAATTACGGAGATGAATATTTGGCTGAATTAGATTACGTTGAAGTAGTGGAAGGAATTAAAGAAGGTTATGAGAGTGATGTCCTTGAGCCAGAAATGCCAATATCTACTCCTGAAGATAAAAAAAAGTCCATGACAAGCGATGATGAAGACTACACGAGAGCAAATACAAATGATTCAGATGAGGATTTTGATATTAGTAAATATGCAAACTTCAATGTAGTTCGTTCAGATCCTTCATCCATCAGGTAACTGAATGTAATAATTTCCAGTATTTTACATAATTTCTATACGAATATCTTAATAATATCATGCATCAATTCAGAAAACGACTTAGAAAACGAAAACGAGAAGAGATTACTATCCTAGACGAATCAGAAGAGAACAGTGAAGACGGAGTTATTACTAAAAATTCTGAAACTCTTTCGAAACCATCAGCTAGTGAAAATCGTTCGAATGATCAAGAGGCAATCACGATAAGCGATGAAGAAGAAAATAGAATTGGTAGACGTGAACCAAGTAGATTTGATCCTACAGTTGAGCCAGCACAATTAGAGAGGCCTAAGTTTAAGTCGGTGAGAGATTTCTTCGGCGAGGATGAAGCTGTTTATATAATGGATGCTAAAACAACAGGGAATATTGGACGGTATTTAAATGTAAGTAAAATATACGTCATTTTTTAATGATTTTCGTTTAAGAACTAAATTACTGAAATTTAAATTGAAGTATATAAGAAAAACGGTATTTAGATTTACGAATGAATATATCATTATTATAGTAATTGAATAATTAATGCCCTAAATGATTAAAATCATTACAACAATATGTAATAAAAATTTTTTTTCCTAAAATATTACTTGTACAATAAAACTATGTTTGCTTGATGATTACAGCACTCTTGTGATCCGAACGTTTTTGTTCAGAATGTATTTGTTGACACGCACGACGTGAGATTTCCATGGGTGGCATTTTTCGCTTTAAATTATATAAGAGCGGGTCAAGAATTAACATGGAACTATAGTTATGATGTCGGAAGTATACCGGGTAAAGTTATCATATGCAAGTGTGGCGCATCTAATTGTAGAGGTCGACTTTTATAATATATGCAACACTTTATCTAGGAAGAATAAAATTAGGATTCTTACATTTATGTTTTCTAAGTCTCTCTTCTTTTTAAGTACGCATTCTATAGTACTAAACTGTAAGATTAAAAAAAATAATAAAATTGTGAGTAGAAAATTTATATATAGATTATATTCATGTTTGTTTTGTTATATTTATTATTCATTAAAATATAAGCTAATTTACAAAATAAAGCAGGCTTGTCGCGCAGAACAAATTATATTGCATTTTGTAAATTGTAATGTCTCTTCCTGAGATAATTTCAATATGTTATTACAATGCATTCTTTTATTATTCTAAACAACGTAAGGTTTCTGAAAAGATATATCTATAATATATTTTATGACTATCGAAGGTAATACAGTCTTCGCATTTTTTAATAATTGACATCGGGTAAATGAATCTTTATGTATATGAGAAGGCTCTAAACATTATTCTGAAAATTCCATTAGCATATTATAATCGGTATTGAATTAATAAATAAGTGATAAACATATGGGTGTAATAATAAAGTACAACTGTATACATAACAATGATGCAATTGGCTTATTATTTTTGATTATTGTACACCTTTTAAAACCTTTTTAGACATGTCAAGTAATTAGTACCATCAAGATAGCTCTTTAATCTCATTCTATAGTTTATATTTTCCTTGAAACTCAGTTAAATTATGTATTTAAATATATATATATCTCAAATAGAGCATTTACTATTCTGTATGTATTCTTTTATCACGAAAATACTAAACTAAATTGGAATCATTATTTTGACAGTGGTTTACAAAAAAAATGTATAGAAAAAACATTTGTAACATTTATAAATTAATAGCAAACATTTAAAACACGATGCTGCATCTTATGAATGTATCAAAATATCTTCTGCTATATGTGATTAGATATTTTAAAAAATAAATTTGTTCTTGTGTTAGTTTTGTAAAAAAAAAGAAGAAAAAGAACTGGTACGATACACTACTTTAAAGCTGAAATTATATATACTTTGAAATCTCTAAGAATAACCATATAAGACTATGAGTTCATGATTATACGCTCCAAATGTGCGATATATTATTATAAAACTACATTTGTGTATCTATATCTTTTAATTTAAAGTGCATAAATACGATAGTCTAGTCATATGCAAGAAAATTAAGAGAAAGCAATGGTGATACTCCTATGAGGAACATTAAAATACTAAAATAACAAAATTATCGCTCTGTGTTTTGGTTGGCTTTGTGCTAGTGAAGCTTAAGCAGCTGTTTAATCTCATCTTTCTCAGCGACATCCAAATAACTGGCTCCGTCTGGTGTTAGACCATCAGGTTTAGCTCCTTTTTCTAATAACAATTTCACACAGTTTGTGTGTCCTTCCCAAATTGCTGCCAATAATGTTGTTATACCATGCTTGTCTGTAGCCTATAAAAGAACATATTATAATAATGTATTATATATAAATCTATTAGTATATATTTTCTGAGTATCAAAAAATTTATAAATACATACAAAAAAGAGAATACACAAGTGTGTAATCAAACCTTTAACTTTATAATTCTATTCACAAACTGTTTAAGGAATTTTACATAAACCATTCTTAATCTTCTATCACACATACTAATCTAAACTTTAAAAAAATATTTACATTTGCATTTGCACCCTTATCCAAAAGATATCTGACAACTTCACTTTGGCCATAATCAGCTGCATAATGCAGTGGTGTCCTTCCATCAATCATTTGATTAACATCAATATTCTGTTGATAAAATATATATTTTTAAGACATACAAATTCATTGAAAAAACACAAGTGATATTTGAAAGGGAAATAAGAAATATCTTATTAAATACTCTATTAATCAACAACTTTAAAAGACAATTTTTTGCGTGCAAAAAATAGTAAAATATTTGACGTATGTAATGCAAAATTTTAAGAAATATATCATTGTGACATTTCCGATTAGCCGACAGTCAAGAAAACGATAAGAGAAAGGAGATTGAACGTCTTGTATTTGCCTTATTTTCAACGATATCCCGCACTTGCTCCAAATCACCATTTTTTATACCCCAAACGAGTTCACTCATTTTTATTCTGGGTTATTGAAAGATTTGCCGTTTGGAACGCACAGCCTCTCGAACGTACACGTTTATTCTAATCAGTTCACACTTGCTCTCACGTCCATTAAATTTGGTTAAATAGCGAATTTCGCTGGAACAATTTTTCTGCGCTGCCAACATATGTAACAGGAAAACGAAACCTTTATGCCTGCGTTCATAGTACCAACGTCAGGCGCACCACGAAATGATTTAATAACATTTTAGAAGTTTATAAATGCGAATGTGACATTTAAATTAGAAATTTTGTTTACCAACGAAAAGTGAAGCATTATTTATTGTTCTAATTTTATCTTCTACAAGATTTTTTCCAATTGCGTTACGATAGCAGCGCCATTGAAAATACTTTCAAACTTTTTCAACCACGCAAAAATCACATTGCTGTATCTATAACCTGCTATGGATTAATTATTTACCGTTAAGAAATTATACATATTTAAACATTCTGTTTAATAACTGTTTGATAGGTTAATATAATAAAACATAAATCGCAATATAATTTTTATGCATTTTATTTTTTGGTATGCTTCGATTTAGCGCGAATGTAAGGCGATTTGAAAACAGGCGGGAAACCAAGAAGATATTTTTGCAATTAAACATATAATCTGTTTTTCTGATTTGCAGAGTCATATTATCAATTGTGAATAATATAAATCAACGATTAATAATCGGTAAATTCACGTAAGTTTTTTAAATAAATTGTAAAATGAATTATAAATTATTGATTAACCTTCCTATGAAGCATGTCACGTGATTCGCGATGAAGGTATACATTGGTAGATAGAACAAATTCTTAAAAATTTTTTAGATTTTATTCTAGAAAGAAACGTGTATAATTGAAAAACTGAAGAGCAATATTTGTTTTGGATGATTCAATTCTAACCAATGAATTTTTTGTTTTAGTGCACTTGGAGTACAACTTTGCTTGCAAGAATTCTGTAATAATATTTAATAATTTCAATTTGAATCAGAAGTTCTTCAAACGCTTCAATTTCCATAATGCAGTAGCTCTCAATTATAGAAGCTAACACAATTGCTAATTTCATGGTAAACATTTACGATTGAATTTGAATCTGACCGTTATAATTCAAATTTGTCTATGAATACAGCTATTAATACTTTAATTTGAATCTTTTCAGGAGGACCATACTATTTCACATCAAAGCCACATCAAATCACTCTTGATGACGCCATCAGCGAGGGAATGAAAGGTTATAGACCAATACTGAATTAAATAGATATTAATTTAATCACATACAGTTACAATCACACATGTTTTTACTTAATGTACGCAGAGCTTCCTACTTTTAAAATAGATAAGAAAATTTCTACTCTACGGGACGTTTACAGCTGGAATTAAGAACGGACGGAGTGCATCTGAATCTCATTTCCGGGACTAGGAGACTGAATAGACACGATACTGCTGAAGGCGACGCCACACTTCCTACAACTGACGACGATTCTGCCGTTGCATTCGTGGAACGATACCAATGGGTTTCACGGAATTTCGTAGCGACAATGAAAAAGGACAAAAAAATAGAAGAAAGAAACATGGAAGTGCATAGAGAATTATATACAACGTAATTATAGTCTCGCGTAAAATCAAATCGCGTCGAAGGGTAACAGGAAGTTGCGATGTGGCCTCCTCGTGGCGAAACAAGCACGGATCGATGCGCAACGACAAAAGTAACATTTCTTCTCCGGTGCAGCCACCTGTCCTAATATATTTTTCTCTTCCAACAATCTAGAACGATAATCTTTTTCATTATCTCTTAACAACAATTGTCTTTAAAAATTGTATAACATCATTAACAATTTTCAACAAGAAAACGCTGCATAATTCCGGAAGTTGGTACCAATCAAAGGAAGGAGTAGTGCGAAATCAGATGTCAGAGGAAACATTTTTGACACTAGAACTATCAGACAGTTCAAATTGACTTGTTTTAACATTTTTATTTTGTATTCAAATTATGAAGACACTTTCGTGCAAGGTAGTAAAATAAATTTATCTATTTGCACAGATACAGTAATAAAAGATGATTCAAATCTCGAGTTCACTGTAATTGCTCGGTAGTTCTAGTGTTAAAAAATCCAAAGAACAATTTTGTTATTCATTGATTCTTCCTGTTCGCCACAGGAGTCATATCCTGATGCAGGGAATTTAAGGTTTCGGTGCATCAGCTTTGGGCTTCTTCTCCAGCTCCAGGATATTCGTAGGCGGCGGGACAGTTAAGATCTCTGGGTACTCGAGTTTAGCTCCTTCCTCGCATTCGAAGACTGGACAGCAGTCAGGGAAGGGAGCGGTCTTGTTCGTCTTCTCGGATAGCTTGCACTTAGGGTTCGCTTTCGGCAACGGTCCGCAATCTTCTACGAGCTCGAAGAGGCGGCCAGAGTTGTCGTCAGCTGGCACGCAGGTCGAACGACCGCAGAATGGTGTCAGATCCCATGATTTGGTTGGCTCAACGGTGGCGCATTTTGTCGAGGCGAAGCACATACCCGGGAAATCTGCAACAAACGTTTACGTTCATGATTTCGCGAAATTGTGATACGCTAAGCGAATTCACTGATCAGTAGACTGGGGGTCTTTATGGAAATTCAAATGTTTAAAAATATAATTTGCAACCGCAGAAGATTGTTGTTTCTAATAAATACTCTAAGAAGCATTACATTTTGGATGAGGTAGATCGAATCGAATTATTTCGTGTTCAATAATAAAGAAATAAAAATACTTGAACATTTCCTATATTTTTCATTTCTAATTATTTTCCATATTTTCTCATATTGCGTTTGTTCTGTGCAACTTTGCAATTCCTTTCCTAGAAATGTATAAAAATCCACAGTCCACTGATTAGTAAATTTATAAATAACGACATATCAGGATAGTAAACCTGGAGAGATAGAGGTTTGATAACGTTAAGATAAGAATTTGAGAATTTCTTTGTAAACAGTTCTTCGTAACGATTACATAATCGACGCGTTATTCTTACCCTATCGTAACACGGTTGCGGATTCGTTGCCGATGGCTCGTTGATGGATCACGGAATGCGAATTCCGGAATTACATAAATTACATTGCATAAAGATAGTATTCAATTGATACGTTCCGTTAACCGGAACGTTAGATTTTATGCGAGAAAGCGTAGCTACCATTAGAGACCAAATTTGATTAACCTTCTTACGGCTGATGCTTTCGACGATTTCACGAGTAGTAATGTTTTGGACTATTCAAATTTTTATTTATCAATTTTTTTTACATATTTCTTTCGAATGAGTTTCCACGAGCTACGAAATGCGTGATATTATTATATAGTCTAATATAATTAACTGAGAACGCAAGGTAGGCATAATAGTCGAGAATTTAAATGTAATCTTTAAAAATCTGTGTCAAAATAGTTCAAAATTACACAGTTATTACATTACATAATTAATTATTACATAATTAATAGTTCAACAAAATTTACACAGGTAAGAGATTGCATAATTAATAGTTCAACATAATTTACACAGACGTTGTCTTCATAAAAATAAAAAAATAAGTTCCACCATCTCGGCTCAAGCACTCTACATTAAAACGAATGGATTTCACTAAAAACGCTTGGCATTCCGAACGAATCCGCCCGTCGGATTTTCACTGAGCCCGATGTAAAAGTAAGATCCTCATTGCACATGTGCAACGGTCCGAGCAGATTGTAATTCTTTGGTAATGTCGTCACCAGTGTACGATGCACGGGCCCACACGGGCATTATTCGCGCGGCTACAGCCCCGGGCTACATGTGAAAGGTGTCGTTACTTTCTAATGCACACGTGCGCCCGAACCGAACCGTTTCAACGAGCTTCTCGTTGTACCATCTGATGTTCAACGTTAAAACTACCGAATTCGAATTCGAAAGAAGTCAAATTAAATTTTTGAAATTTGTATACAGGATAAGTTGTTTAACAGTGCCATCTGAATTTACTTGTAAACCATTTGTCATATACAAAAAATTATTGAGTATCAATCAGACCAACTGTATTTTCATCAACAATAATTTCTACTCTGAATACCAAACAATTTCTGCTTCGAACATTTTTTTACTCAACAAATAAATTTTGGTAACACGATTGAACGAGTTACTCTGTATAGGGACTTCAAACTGCGTTACATGAAGATAAAATATTTTTGGTTTATTTTTGTAGGTCTTAAATACTGTGTCTGCTGTAATTAACGGATGAGGTTTCGCCTACTGGAAGCTTCAAGGAGAAACACTTTCACTGTCACTATAGGCTGGCTGTTGTGCGATTATCGTGGGCCCTACGTGAATCGTTACACGCTGATGGCATTTAATTCTCAGTTCTTTAAATGAATTGGGAAAATTAAAAAACGATATTTTTTAATTTTTAATATTTTGAAAAATAAAATAGCTTGTTAATAATGACTAGCGGTTAGCCTGATAGTAGTATTAAGAGAAGGAAGAAGCGAGAAATTGGAATTAAGGCGAGAATCACGTGTTCACAGCCTTCGGCGGACGTGATTTATTTAAATAATGACGTGTCTGTTACTGTTTTCTCAATGCCGCACTGTTACATCGAAGGTTTCACGTGACTGGCAATCACACCAACACCGAAGCCATCGATTCTCACGGGACTTCTGGGATCACAGGAAAATGGATCTTATATCGCATAATCTACCATCCAACCGTGTCGAGGAGTTCTCGAAGTCTCTTAGCAATTTATCTCTTTAATTATGAGGAAGTAGAGATATTTATTAATCAGTTAAATCGATGCAGGTGTCCCTCAAACTGATTCCCACGTGTTTTCAGATTTGTTACACGAAAGAGGAATCGTGGCAAAGGGTATGAGTCACATTAGTGAAGTATGTATCTCCACTGTTCTCCAATTGGAGATTTATGGTAAATCTATTTTTAAAGATGATCCTATTTTTATGTAATAATATTAAATAGTATTAGCTAATGTTAGAAATATTACTAACAATAATACTATAGTATTAATATCAATTAACTATTAATAATATTAGTAATATTACCAATAATAATATTATAATATTAATATTAATTAACTATTCATAATATTATAATATTATTAATAATATTAGTAATATTACTAATAATAATATTATAATATTAATATTAATTAACTATTCATAATATTATAATATTATTAATAATATTACTAATATAACTAATTAACCAACATTACGTAATAATATTAACGAATAAATGAATGATTACAGGACTTTCTACTGTTTAAAAATTCAAACGGAAATTCTACAATTTCACCTCGGAATCTACGGTAGCAAGAACCTGTGATTCTTTAACGCGGTAAAAGGTGGTAAGTGGCAAATACAACTGCCGCGATTAGTTCCGTGCTTTCCACTTTGTAATGCGCTCGCCGGTGAATCTGGAAGCAGCTCGAAGATTAAAAATGGCGACGGCTAAATGAATCGTAATTCCCGCGGAACGCTGCTCGTGACGGGAAACATTTAAGGAAGCAGTGAAACATGATTCACGACGATCTCCTAAAACTTTCACCGACATTTAGGCTCGTCTATTGGCGAGGGTCGGCTTTCATGGCAGCGGGTGTAATGTTACGTCCGCGCGCTGCAACTTCCTCTTGTCCATATGAAGATGTTGCCCAAGCGACGTTACAACTAGCAAAGCATTTAGCAGCGATTAGCAGATTGCAGATTTCTATGCAAATGTACATTTTCCCACTTGCAAATGAAAAACAGAAGAAATATGAAATCCTATGAAAGTTTCAGTCTTACTGGTTCTTAGAAATCTTTGCAAGATTTAATTGCATACAAACAATTTGACGATGCCATTAATTAAATAAGGTGTATTAAAGTATTGATATTAGTGAGTTTAAGTGGGTGCAGGGTACTAGTTAGGTTATAAAATGAGATTTCACTAATGAGTGTACAAAATTATTGGTTTTCCCGACCGAGCCACTGAGAACAGTGACGGGCTGCGCAGTCAACGGTGGCCTTAATTAGTAATTAGTAATTACCCGTGGTTACCTGTGCAGCGGTCTCCGACCACATGTTTACTAGAATAATTAAGCAATAAATGGTAGTTGGTTAGATGTGACAAAGTTTTGATAAGAATGGTATTCTAAGCAAATTATTGCTGTAGAAAAGGGAAAGACATAAATCCCTTGCACTGCCATTTAACCGGGAAAAATGCTACCTACAATTATAGTAGTTGACATTCGACTCGTAGTACAATACAACCTCCAATAACGCGATTAGAAAATTACTAAAAAAAAAACTATAAAAGTCAGATTCTTCATAAGAAAGTAATACAAGCGGAGACAGAAGTTGGACCAGTATTAAACATGGCATTTTTTAATCTCGTTATATGAGGTTCTACTGTATTTATGTTTGACCTGAAAATACGACCCCTAGTCTCACTAGTGAGATTTATATTTTGGTCTGAAATTGCAATGTAATTTGGTTCTGAAAGTAGTTCAAAGGGTTTTTAAGAAGATGGTCGAAGGCATCGGTGCGTAATCGTGATCGGTCTCACTTTCCAATCACAGAAAAATAGTAGGATAATATCTTGGGAGATGGTTATATTTTCATTGAAACGCATTTAATTAAAAACTAAAGGAATCAAAATAACAAATTTGTCTAAGCTTCAATCAATTTCCTACAAAATGATCAACAAGGTTTAAAATTAGAGACAAAAAGACACCAAATTGTAATTGCAGTTGCAATTTTACCAATTGTTTATGCAAGACAATTGAACTGGCCATCTCCCCCGGAATTATCCTACACCTATCTCTCATCTTCTATGTACCGTTCATTAACATCCGTTATTTTCTCAACGACTGTCATCAGCATCCAAGTGTTGAACACCGCATCTTATAGTTATCAGAATCTGTTAATCTTATCCCGGTACATCCGGTTGCCGGTTAATTAAGGGGTCGCTCGCGATAAGTGGAATTAACCGCGGTAATTACGTTCCTAGCCGTGCATCCATCCGATTAGCGAATCCATACGATGACCGCTGTCGTTTCGATGAATGCGTGATGTTCTCCGCCTGTAATGACGGCTGTAATTTGTCGGCGCGTGTTGCTCTTTCGAAAGTTCCACCGCGGTCGCGTAACAACCGCTGATTGCGGGGCAACAGTTGATCGAAGTACGAACGATTGTCTGCCAGGTTTCGGGGACGCGAAATCGTCGTTTCGCGAATTCTCATTCGGGTCTTGTTTTCGTCACGACCCACCCAGCCCATGGGCCTACTTTCCGCGGTAATTCCCAGTTGAAGCGGATAGACGCCTAGTTCGTGATCGAGAAATTTAACTTCGATGATGGCTCGAGGATTCGGATAGGACCGGTGCAGGAATTTTTGTCTTTCGTTAGTTGTATGAGTAGAGTAACAAGTGAGTAAAAAATAAAGCAGAATAAAAATTGTAATGAATATATTAAAGGGATATAGTTTTTAGGGATAGTATTGAGCTTTAATATCGGATAGAGCTAAATTATAATGAACATATCATTGAGTTTAAAAATGGTAGGGTTGAGCTGTAATATCGAATAGAGTAAAATTTTAGTGAACAAGTGGAAAAGACATGGTGACAGAAAATGGCACTATCGAGCTTCATCTGCGTCTCTATAAAAGCCCAAAGATCGACGAGTCGCCGATTACAAAAGAAGAGGTCCGCAGTTCTTACGGGTGTACCTCACGGTAAAAGTTTTGTAACACGGTTTAATCTCATTATCCTTATTCCGTGCGCGTATAAATAGCGTGTCCTCACCGTCTGACTGAGACACGCGACAACGGGTACATAAATGTACGGCAAACGCCGTGTTCGGGCCCGGAGCAACTAGGCTGATTCGATTATTCATCGGAATCCAGGCCTAGAGCGAGAAACACCGGAGTTATCTGGGCCACGGTGTTCCGTGGGTCTACAATATCTAACCAGAATCGGCAAGGACACTGTTAGCAACCTTCGTTGGTTAATTAATTAGTGCGCCTATAGAATTTTCTGTAGGTACTCATATCGAACACAATGAGGCAAGATGGTCTATTGAATTTAATATTGTTTACGTTTCAACGATATAACTCTTAAAATCATCGAAGAAGTTTCTCTTTTCTTTTTGTTGCAAATTTCGTTTTGCATAAGGGTCGTTGCGTTAGACTATTCATTAGCGATCACTAATTATGGCGTTTAGTTAAGAAACAGTACAGAAGCTTATTTTTGCCTGTAAAAAAAGGTCTTGCTTTCTTTAGTTGAAGATTGTTGGAAATATTTAGAAATTACAAATTACAAATTTGTCCGTTACAAAGTAAAATCGTTTAACCATATCAACAGATCTTGGAGAGTTCTAAGTATAATGGTAACTTGAATGCACATTGAACCAGATTTTAGTTTACTTACATCAAAACTAGCAGTCTAATCGACTTTATTAAATTTTCCTATCATCATCATTTGAATTGACTTACGATTCAGTTTGTGTATTGCTAAATCAATTTCTTTAGTCATTTCTTAGAAAACGTCTGTTACCCTTTTAACAGTAATTTCTTCTAATTAAATAAGAATTCAGGAATGATTTCATTTCATTTGGTAGTCTAACGTTGTTTTTCAAAATCGTACAAATAATACTCTCATAAAACCTAATAACAGCTTAATGATCGTAATTAACGATTCAGCGATTCGCAATTAATGGTTCTTCATTTTGCAGTGGCTGATTCATCGTGGATTTCTGTTCATAGGCTCATGCATCTGCTGAACGGCGTATAAAGATGGAGAACCAAGAAAATGAAAGGACACATACGATATACTTTCACGATTGTAGGGGTATCCCAGGAATACGTTTCCTATTTTTCCGTTCGCGTGCCAGCCGAAATCATATAACAGTGATAAGAGGATCTACGAAACCGACAGACGAGCCCATCGTTACAGGCAATCTTTGTTCTTTTCATTCTCGGAGAAGACTAGGGTGGTTTGCCTTTGGTCGTTGTGGTTGCGGTTCGCCGAGCAACGCCTGAACACAATGGAAGAAGGTTTGCCTTCAAGGTCCGGGTTTTAATTGCAAATGGAAAGCTAAGGCGTGGTTGACAGTCCTGATTAGCCCTGGGCATTGAGTAGGGTAAGCTAACCTTTGTGAGTATAATAAGGTAGCTTATTATAAACAGTCCTGGGTACTAGATCTAATAGCTAATTTTTTTGAGTAGAATAAAGTAGCTTCTTTTAAATAGCCCTAAGTATTAGATGTAGTGGTTAATTTTAATGAGTAGACTGTGGTAACTTATTGTAAACGTGTAAGGATTAAAAATGCTTAACACTTAAGCACCCGACAATTTGGGGGTATGACATATCGGGATGTATAATATTTAGTGAAATTTAAATCTGTTTCTGCATGCTGAGAACAAATCGATTTAAAAAGTAAAGTTTTATTATCAATAATAATTTTATCATACATAATAATTTATTAAAACTACAATTTTATTTCATGGGTCGTAAATTAAGAAAAATGTACAGAGAAGGAAACTTTACTTGGTTTTGACTTTACAGAACAAAAATGCGCTAATGCGTGGTCAGGCATTAAAGTGTGAACTTTCCGTTTAGGCGATCAGTTCCTAAAAACCGATAGTATCAATATTATATTAAAAAATTTATTATCGAAAAATAGAATTTATATAAAAATTAACAAAAGAGTGGCATCTAATGATTAATGCATTTCTTTCTGAAGACAACGTTGTTAAGGTCTCTTTAAATTTCCAACTGTTATCCCTCCTTCACGGTTTTACTCTTACTTGTAACGTTAAACAAGCTCAGTTTTGTCGAAAACTGAAACCTACGCTAATTTATTCCAATGTACGAGATATGTATTTTTCAACAGATGAATCAGTTCTGAATCAGTTTCTAAGAAACTCGATTATCTTCACGCCCGAAGTGGTAAAAATTCGTTCCGCTGTCATGACACGTACCTACATACTTAGGTACATACCTGCGTATATCTGTCTCTTATGACTTGTTCTAGCGGTTCTTTCCTTTTTCATGCGAGAAAGGAAATTTCCATCGGTAACACCGTTACCAACAAATTGCAAGAAGGGTAAGCACGGAAGAAGAAAGTGGGAAACGGGAAGTCGGCTTCATCTCGGACGTGGAATAGATTAACCTGTCGATCGGACAAGGCTACTCTCAACCGGTTCAATGATTCCGGTTTCCCTAGGAATGCGAGAAAATCCGTGAATCTGTTTCACACGATGGTCAATTGATTTTCTTGACTACTTTACTTAAAATGCGCTTTAACCCTTTAGTTCCCGGTGGTATCGTCTTAAAACCACATATATCAATACCAGTAAAATGTGAACCAGTCTAGTCGCGAAGCTACCAGTGTAAAATCGACATAAGTAATTACCACCTATGCTTTTGACAGTTAGAACAACATTTTTTATAAAAATATCTGGTTTTGTTAAAAATGATACGTTAGTTAACGTATGTAACCACAATAAATATATTTCTCCTACAAGTTTTTATTTGAGGCCTAAAGGGTTAATCCCAGTAGGGATTATTGGTATTATCCCTAAGATTGAGAGAATTTACCGAGAATCGTTGGTATAAATGCTTATTAAGAAAAATTAAGATAACCATTTTGAGTGCAAATAGATTACATGTTTATATAAAAACTTTTAATCTCTTCTGCAACCCCTATCATCACTTTTGTATTTGACTACTTCTTTAATCAGTGTACTAATTATTTTACAATACTTAACACTAGGTTTACGGAACGCGTCAATTTAACACTAATAAACAGTGACAAATTAAGCAAAACAAATGAGAGAGAGATGGGGGTTGAAACTAAGTTACTGAGAGTAACTGTATTGTTATAAGAACAAAATATTGCTCGTCTACGGTACAAACCAAGGAATCAAGTTTCTGAAATTCAATTCAAAGTCTGCGTCACGCGGCTGACTGAATCTTATAAAGTAAAGGGTTAATACATTGATGCCGGAGCTGCAATTTACGTCTTTGGTTATCTAGCGGTGAAATTCCAAAAAAATGTTTATAATTATCAATAAGTAAATTAATATTCAACTACATGGTAATTTTTTCCATCTGCCAAACCAATTCAACAAACTATTTGATGTATTTGATGGTATACCAGTGGTACACCCCATCGTCAATGTGTTAATAAGGTTAGATAAGTCTAACAGTTCCAAGAGAATGATCTTTCTATCTATTAAAATAGATAATTAAAATGTTCGATCTCTTGAAGGGTAGAGGCTCGAGGAGAAGACTCACCGCGCAGGACATCAGCAGGGATGAGCCTCCTGAAAGTCTTGGGCCGTTCTTCCTCCTTCTCCTCGGCGGCGAAGACGACCGCGACGACGAGCAACAAGACCGGCAACAGCTTCATGGCGACAGTTGGTTGCAAGCGGAGGAGGAGGATCGACACCGACTCTATCGAAGAAGGAGGAAGCGGAGACAGACAGACCAGAGAAAGGGGGAAAAAAATGTATAGAGTCCTCGTGTACCGATTAAGACTGGTTGTGCCCGATTCTCTTGCCGGCATTTTATAGCTGTCCACGGGGCGGGGTCCTCTGATCCCCACCAGACATTATGGTCTCTCACCTCTTGAACCACCAGTCACCAAAGAATCGTTCCCGTCCGAAGCTGGATCGTCGCCTACCGTGCGCATACATGCACGACCATGAACAGATAATTCGTGCCGGCACACAATGTGGAAATATCAACGTCTCTGTAGCCAAAAATCAATTTTTCGGAGTTCTTAAAGCAATGAAATCATTTATTTAACACTAAAACTACCAGAAGAATCAAGATAACCCGTTTCTAATTTCTTTTTTACAATTATTGAAAAGAATAACAAATTATTCTCTGAAAAATTATTGAAGAAATTGATCTTGCAACACACAAACTGAATTATATGTCAGTCGAAATCTCAATATATGTACTTTTAGAGTTTCTATAAAAAAATTAGGGAAAGGTAATTCGATTGCTCGGTAGTACTAGTGTTAATTAAAAACGAAATATTTACTAATAGTGATATAATAATTTTCTCATAAGATAATACGTAAATATGAATAATAATAAATATTAACACTGAATCATATATAGTAATAATGTAGTTTGAATAATTAGTAATAGCAATAATATTAATTGTTGTGAATAGCCCTATATAAAATAATTATCATGTTTGGAATTACTAAAGAACATTTCATTACTACTAGAAAATCAGCTTAACTTTGTTTATTGAAACGTTACGGACTTTTGACCAGTGAAACGTGATCCCACTGTGCGGCGTTATGCCAGTAATATACGGGATCGACCGGCATGAATCATCTGCGCGATGTATACATCTGGCTGGATACACAGTAACCCTACAGTCAGCAACGTAAATATTGGACCAGCATGGTAAAAAAATACATTATTAAACAAATTGTACACCGTACATTGCTATTTATTGAAACAAACTACATTCGTGTTGTATACGTGCAATAAAATTAAAAAAATATTTAGCCATGTGCCAACAAATTGTGGAACATTTATTGTCTGTATTTATTGTATCTAGTCATGAATAACGTTCGAATACTTTTGTTGTTGACTGTATATACGCGGCGAGACTCTCACACGCACGAATTATGGAAATCGAAACGAATCCACGACCAATGCATTCCGCTTGTCCGAGATACATATGACGAAGTGGGTTACCATTTGGCGTGTATGGGTTTTCTGTACTCTCTTTTTTTGGTACTGTCCTATTTGTCCTTCACGAGGCGCCATTCTTTTTCTCCGGTTAATTGAATCGTCTGATAGGAAAGTTTCGGTCACCTTAACCGTTCTTTTTTTCTTTTCTCTTTTCTTCTTTTTTTGTTCTAGTGTTGTAATCGGATTTATTGTATTGTTGTCTGGTAACAAGCCTCCAGGTGGCTTTCTTGTTTCTTTCACTGAAACCGTCAGAAACAGTGGGTTTAATCGAATGCCTGTAAAATAGTTGCAGAATTGCGTCGTAATTAACAGGATGAAGATGTTTATGCAAATTTGGACGTATAATTCATGTCATAGTTTTTCCTTGGACAAAATTAATTATTGAGTTCATATGAATGTTTTTTGTATAAAAATTATTCGTAAGATGTTTTTTATGGGTTCCTTTTTCATTGAGAACTAATGGGACTTTCTCCATTATGTATTAACATAGAAGTCACATCAAGAAATTAATTCATTCCCTTAATAAATTTCTCGAATGTCGTAGAAAAGTCTATAAGTCTGTATTCCAGATACGAGATGAAAGTTTGAACGATTCCGAAAAGTTACTTTGGTAATTTTATCTAAAGTGTGAAGCAATCGACGTCAAACCTACATTACCGTCCATATGTTTCTTGGATGCCTCGCTACTCTAAAGAAAATGCAAATTGTGATGTGAATAAATACAGACTGCTGGAGCAGTCCTTCCAGATTGTTCTATTTTTATGTATGAAGCCAGCGGCTATACACAGACATCACACGTCTGTCCACCTTTCACCAGGATTACTTTGAAAAATTAGAAAACAATAATAAATCATACTTGTACAATACTTTCTGGACCCACTGGAATACAATTAAAAAATATGCTAATGCAAGAAAAATTTCTAAACAAAATTATACACAATTTTAAATTGTAATTAGTTCAACAGTATTTTGAAAAATTCACAATTGCTTTGCTAAGATTAATTATAAACAAGCAACTGACAATAGAGAAATTTTGTATCGTTCACAACGTCCAAATTTTCCATTTTCTATAAAATCTAAAATTCAATATAAAATAATATATAAAAATATAAAAATGTAAAATCTAGAAAAAAAGAAGCTTGTGTCTGTAATTCTTTATGAAATTTCGTAGGAAGAAACCATTTTTGTTCCACAGCCAAGATGACTCATAAACGGGATTTCGCGTGGTCCCTTTTGGTGAGGATCTCCAGAGTCCGTTCGGATAACGGAAATTCCGTTGTAGTGGGCAAACAAAGGCGATTGTCGACATTCGTGGCCGCACGTCAGACGGCTCGAAACGTTATTGCACAAGGAAGAGAGCCTGGGCGAACTCGTTTCCCTTTCGTTCCTCGTCCCGGTGTGTTTACACGTGACGTGTCCGTCGAAGAAATATAACTGAGTCTTTCCGTGACCGTCGCCTCTCGTGAAATCACGATTACCGACGCCCGTAAAAGCGTTAGCCTCAATTAGGATACCGGTGTTCGCAACGCTCTAATGATTCGTGCCGCTCACGGTCCGCCGATACATATCAAAATCGACAAGAATCATCTGAAAAGGACAGCAATGCAATGTTTTCATTACTTTCCCAATAATTCTTTGTTAAACGAATTTACAGTGAAAATTATACTGCATTTACAATCTTAACACTTTCTTTAGGCACAACAATTATATTTTACTGGCTCATTAAAAAAGGTAAATATTAATAGAGGTTTTCAACGATTAATATATTTCTGTGATTTAAGTATGAATTATTGGTCATGTATATTAATGACCCGTATTTTATAATGGATCGATGCGAATTATAAAATATTGCGGGGAAAACTGAATAATGGAGAACGGAAGTGATTTACTGTTCAATGTAATGATATCGAAGTTTCTACTTAGTGTGCTTGGGTCTCGGTTTGCAGCGAACTTTCGCTATTTCGTTAAAGTATCTCCGCGGCCACGTTTGCATCCGTCTACCCGGCTCTAGAGACGCGCGGCCCGCAAGAAAAAACACCGGTCTATGTATGAGTATTACAAGCAATGAGTTCGAGAGTTTCTTCCTGTCCGAGCAACAAGTAGGAAGGAATTAAGTCAGTGTTGCCTCGCGGTTAATAACCGTTGCGCAATAAGTTCATCTAATTTATGTGAAAATTTAATGATAGCATTGTGCATTGCCGCCCGTTACGCGTCGAAATAGTAACGGGAACGTTCTTTGGGGCGAAGAGAGTCGAAACTTCGAGCTATGAAAGCGTGCAGAAGCTTGAAACTCAGAGAAATAAATAAAAATAAAATAATAATAATAGTAACACAAACTACATTTATCCACAGAAGCCAAAAACAGTTGTCCCTCTTTGCTAATGGGTTCCGCTAATTTCGAAAAAAGAATCGCAACAGAAGAAAACAAGTTGTACAACATCGGTTTCTTCGCAAAATCGAAACCGCGAAATACCACCAAACAATAGACGCGCAAGCTATCCCATTACAGCTAACGGGGTGTCGAATGAATTTTTCAAGTTCGATTAGTTGATTACACGCGAGAACGTTCCATTCTACACTTTCCATTCGTTCGTTTTTTTTTCTATTTCGCGAACAAAAATCGGCGAGTTCCCCGGATAGAACGTTCCTTTCGTACGGCGATAAAAGCAAACGCTGAAAAACCGGCGAGTTGGCGGAGGGGTGAGACGAATTTTACGCTCGCTTCGAGATTAATTATCGAGATGAAACGGAGAAGCGCGGCTCGCTACTCGCAGCGCAAAATCTGCGGGATAGGAAAGCGAAGGAGAAAGGGAAAGTTGCCCATCGGCATCCTTATCCCGAGCGACGCGACTGTAACCTTCTGAATCACCGTTCCCGAAGCAAGTTTGTGGTATTTCGAGCGCGTAAAAGTTTGACATCCTCTTGGACGTCGTTTCGTGCGTAGATGGTAGGTAGTAACACACACGACTGTCCTTTTTCCGGAACCAGAACTTCCGCGAAGATTCAATTAGAAGTTATCTAAACGCACTTTTTCATAAACCAGTTGATTAACACTCGCATATTCATCGCAAACATTTGGATAAAGAATTATTTATATTTTGAAGCTTATACAATTGTAATCTGTATAGTATGATTCATTTAATCGCTTTAGTTAAACTCTAGAGATTATTTTCCTTTTATTCTATTTTCATGAGGTATAATATGTTTCTTGTAGGCATTAAAACGCATAATAAGTAGCTTATCTGAGGTAAGCTGGTGAGTAGCTAATATAAGTTAATTTAATAAGTAGGTAATCTGATGAGTAGCTCAGTGAGTGGCTAATTTAACGTATAGTTAATGCAAAGAGTAGCTAATCTAACCAGTAGCTAATCATTCTTCGCTTGCTGCTGAACTCCAATCTGCTTCATCTACATCGCCTTGATCAAATGTTACTCTTCGTCCTCTGTTTTCAGCACCGAATGTTCCGCGGTTACTGTACACCCACGAATTCCAACCAGCCTCGAATTACTCGATTTTACCTCTGACAAAGCTTCTTTCAGAGCTCCCTCCACTTTCTCTTCGGTTGATTCTTCCCCAACCGGCGATTTCTCATCTACGGATGATGAGAATGACGGGGGTCGCGTGTTTCGACCTTATTTGCGCGACGGAAGACAGCTTCGCCGCGGATGACTCCGCGCGCTGAGCGTACGAGACCGCATTCTTCGAACCCTTGCCACTTTCCAACGAGATGCTGTTTACTGGAGCCGACAACACGTGGACATCACTCGTGCCCCAGGTCTACCAGAGCTTAGACGACCAAGCTCACAACCAGTGAGTATTTCTCACCAGTGAGA